AACACTCTGTATATTGAATATTGCATTCAAATGACGACGTTTAAATCTAATATTACAGACCTTGAGGATGCCAATACACTCGAGGCCTGTCTTATTTAACTCTCAGAGAACCATGCTAGGTGTATATACTGAATATTTTTTTATTTATTTATATCCATTGAAGAAATTTTTTTGAAATAGGAAATATCAATTATTACAAAGAAAGATGAATATGAGTCAACTATGCTCATGGGTTCTACGGGATCTTGTCGGTATTCGGAGAGTTAAACAAGTTATTTCTCTCATTTAACAGAGAAGCAAAGTAAATAATAATGACTTTTGGTCCTATAATTAATTCCGTTCGAAGAAACTTCATATTTTTGAAAATATTATGTAAATAAGTTCATTGACACAGGTATTCTTATTAATTATCTAAATACTATCACTTTCATACAGAATTTATCTAATCAAAGAGTAATTGAGTCTACTTTTTTAATAAATACATATACATTTTTCATCAAGGAATTCATGAAATAAATAATGAAGAATGAAGATAGTTCCATTTATAGATTAAAACCGGACACCGTGTGTATGCAACGCACGAGACAGTAATTATGTTAAATAACTTCTAGCTTAAATTGTCACCTATAAGCTCAAGGATATCAAGTGAGTGTTAACATCATGTAGAGATCAATGGAACAATGAGGAGAGAATAGACTAGAAATATCAGACACCAAAGATTTTCATCTATTCAATTGAATTTTGAAAATTCTGTTTCAGTTTGACAACAGTAAAATTTTTTCTGACACAGATTTTATTACACCAACTCAGAATGCAATTTCTTTGACTGTGAGGGAAGCGAGCAATTTGCATCTGAAAATATTAGAATATCAATTAACTCAATGTTAGCTGACGCAATGTCACACAGTTCTTCTGACGTCAGTCCAATACTAATTGCAAGCTAATTCTCATAATTATGTATATTCATATTATTTCTTTGCAAATAAGCAGAATCCGAGTAGATGTTCATTTCATTTATTAAATTAATTCTAATCTTTTTCATATACAGGATGTCCCGCATTTTAGTGTTCAAACATTACCAATGTGTTCTGATAGGTAAAAATAAGTCATTCAAATCAGTAGTCATACATCACTTTTCATTTGTTTGCAGAACTTTCAGTCGACAGCACTGTTTAGTTATTACAATATAATCGTTAAAAAAAAGAAAAAAAGATGAAAAAGAACTGGGTTTAATGGCAAGAATAGGAAAACAAGTTTTGGAGAAAGTGGAAGTGTAGAAAAAGAGAGAAAATATTGAAGATTGAGATGTAAGGAACTAAAAATGTTTAGTCAGAAATAATCTGGACTAATCTAAAACGCGTGTATCAACTGTCAAATGAAAATAATATGTTTTAATCGAAAAATTTGAAATTAAATTGTAAGGCAAGGGATTGATCGTTTTCAGTAGTTGAATAGTTGACAAGTAAACGAATTTGGTTATTTCCAAAGGGTCATCAGTGATACCTAACGATCCGATTGATCAACTATCTGAAGGAATTTTTATGAGCTTTACATAATCGTTTGGAAGCCTCACATCTGTCCTGTTCATTAAGATTGTACTTCAAATGTATGAAAGAATGTGAGTAGTATGTTGATTGTATTACTGCCTTGTATTCATTTTCCACCTTATATTTTTAAAAAAGCTCTTACATAGGCATTATCATTCCAAAATAGGATATTCCAATTGTTTAAATCTTCAAATCATGAATAGATTGCGGATTTTTATGTAAATTCATATTAATATAATACAATTATAATTAATATAATTAATTAGTAGATACAATACAATTAACATAATATAATTAAAAATATAAAAATTGACTAAATTGTATGTACTGAATATTGCTTTGTATATTTTATACATTTTTTCTACATATTATGCACGTTTTGTGCAATTTTGCATTTTTAGATTTTTTGTAGTACATGATAATCCGCAGTCTAGTCATGAAAGAAGAATCACTTAAACATTCAGTTTAAACCCACCTCAATATTCGTATGAACTCGTACAAATTTAATCTTCATAGAAGCATCTTTGTCATTGTCAGCCAATTAGTCAGGATATCATTCGTTCTCATTTGTGGGTCAGTAACCCGAAATTAATTTAAAGGATAACAAGATATCTATCACTTGGACATTACATGTCAGTATCATTGAGCATTATTCAAATACAGTATTCCAAAAATGACAAGTTGAATAATTGAGTTAATTGAGTTAATTCAAACATGAAAATTTGACATTAGTAAATTTTTGTTTCTCAGTATGAAACGAATTTGTAGAATTTGTTAGAGAATTATTGCATATTTCAATATTTTAATAAAAAAAATCTTTCTTCTTAAATACATTAATAAAAGAATCTCTTCCACATAAAGAATATATTCTAATTGAAAATAAATGCTGATTTGTAAGTGATAGCAGGATAATATAAAACAGAAAGTATATTATATTGAAAGAGATAGTAAAAAAATGCATGTTCCCCATGAAAATGTATCTAACACATTCACGGCCGATAGTTTTACAGAAATCCATAGTACAAAAACTATAAATTTCTGTGATTAACACAGCAACAAGAATTTAAAGAATTTATTTTTAAACATCATATTTTGTGTCATTTATTATTATTAATTCAAATAAATACAGAAATCCTTCATTCTTTAAAGACAATGATAATTTTTCTATCCGTATAGTCATATTTTAGCCATAAAAAAATATAATATAGTTAGTGGCCATTAATGTGTTGATATTGCTAAATTATTATATATCAAGAGGAAAGTGACACAATTCAAAAATGCGATTTTTAAATCATTATTATGAGAACGTTGCGAAGGCAATCTTTGATCAATTATGAAAATTTTATTCGTTTATCTTCTTAATTTGGCCGGCAGAAAGCGATTAAAGAGTGCTTGTAGAAAACTCATCTTGACTTAGGTGACACTAGGTACTACATTCCATAAATGAAGGATAAACAAAAGAAATGAGGAATTTTTCCGTTTTATAGCACATTTTGCCTTTATAACTCTGATCTAACACTAGAATTAGTCTAATGAAATCAAACAAAATTTATTATATTTTCTTCTATTAGTCTCTTCATTAGTATGAACTAAAATATTGAAACTCAATTTTTTCAATAAAGCTACTTTGTGACATACCCAGTTTCTTCCTTTTATCCTTCAAACTGATTATCATTGTGAATGTAGTAAAGAACCTAAATGAAACTAGTAACCACAAGTTTTCACATAATGTTATTTTAATCACTACAAGAAATTTATAGTTACTGGTTCAGTTATGCTCTTCGCTGTAAATGCGCGTTAATAATTGCTTCGTTTATTTAATTAACAAAATTATCTTAAATAACAAAATAATTAACAAAAATAATTTTGTTCAAAAATTTGTCGCTTCTTCTGGGAAATATATTTTTTTTAGTCGTGTTCACTTTCGTTGTAACTGAGTAATATAAAACATGCATATTGAAATAAGTGATCAATCTTGAGTGGCGTGTTTTTTCTACTTGCGTTGCTAATCTGAGTTACTAAAATCTGCGTACTAAAACATCAACATAAATATAAATGCGAAAATTTTTGTTTTTTTTAATTAAAATATATATACAGTAATAGATTATGTCACATTTTTACATAATTTTCTTTAATTTATTATATTAATTAATATATTTTTCAAGATTAGTCATCCATTTCAGTCACGCTAGACTTTTTACATCTAAAAAATATGACTTTCACTATTCGTTTGGCACAAGTTGCAAAAAAATTACATAAATAAGATAAAACTGAACATCAAAAATCCATTTATTTGATATTTTTTAACTCTTGTGGAGGATATTATCACAATTAATTATCAGACCAAAAGTCAACATCCACAAAAGAGGTTGGAATGGAAAATTCACTTCACAGACAAAATAATTTCATATATGAAAATTCGTCATTTCTATACGTATATATAGATAAATTCGTCGTAACAAGTAAAATATCTTCATTTGTTCGAACTTTTTTAAGATTTGAACTTTCGATATCAGTTCCGAGGTTTAGTCAAAGTTCTTTTCCTTTTATGGTACTTCGGATAATTATATCATCAATCCACGAAGTTTTATGAATTTTGTGATTTTATTAACAATCGTCACGACATACAATTCTACTACGTTCGGTTAAAATCGTATATAAGGATCGTTCCATGGTTAAAAATATCTGACTTTATTATTATATTAAATATTCCCGTTTCAATTTCAAATTACGTGAACGATAGCCTACAATTTTTGCATATCAAAAGAATATCCAAAACATAAATTCATAATTCATAAGCGGCTAAAAGATTCGCAGCAATGTAAAAGGGTTCGTGCGAAATTGCGCAGCGACTGAACCGCGAATCAAAAGCGATATTTCATAAAATATCAGATTACGCAGCAACACGCTTCGCTGGAAGCGTGGAAATAAGAAAACGAAAGGCAAAAGAAGAAAAAAAAATGTTACTTAAATAAAGCTAAAACTGAATGAGAAAAGATTGCGACCTGGAGGGTATAACGTGCATTAATTATTTAAGTACTCGTAATACCAGTTGTGTAAATAACTCTTTCAGCACCGCTGTTCAAATTTGTGTTCTCATTGACGGTGGCCGATTGGCTCATGGCGAAAATAGGCTGTTGGCTCGTGGAATTGTTTTGCGGACCACCCTGTGGTTGTGCCGTAATCGCATCCTCGTCGCTCTCCTCCTCCTGTAAAACACGCAATAATCAGTCCTATTTATTTCCTGTCTGGTAGCAATTATAATTCCCACGAACAGGCATGTACGTGTGTACAGTGAAGAACATAACCGTACCGCTGATTTAAACTAATAGTCTTTTTAAAGAAAGATCTCATTTTAAAGCGTGAAACTTCTACTTTGACAACAGTGAAAGTTCGCATACATAACCTTCTTCATTATCTGTTACCTCTCCATTTTTCTTTCTTCTATCTTTACTAAACACTATCATCTTCAGATTCTAAGTTTAGCTTTCTCATTTCCAGATATATTTTCAATCGCTTCTTCTTTTTCATTTTGATCATTATATTGTTAGTGTAACAAACAAGTCTAGTTGTATTAACAACCAATCCTGTCAATATGACAGATTTCAGAATTTCAAGTGTTTAAAGATACATATTTTTGTTAAAATTAATATTAATCTCCTTTCAGACAACAATATAATTGCGTAAGTCTATCCATTTTAATTATTACCATTTAAGTTATAATATTTATGTGTTAAAGACCGATTGTTTTAATGTTAAATCTGGCAAAGACAATCATGAGACTTAACACATATCCCTACCGTACCCTTTTGTTTATTCACAATTCCTCCAACACCATTTTCCCTAATTTTTATTACATTACTCACCTCTTTCTTTCACCCTTTTCATTAAATCTTTCCTTATTCTTTTTTTCTTCATATTTTTCCATCCTATCAAAAACCTGTTTCTAGTTTCTCTCTCAATCACATAGTGCAAGTTTCATTTGTTTTCCCCTACAGAACTCTGCTTGTATACTACTCAGTATTTCTTTCTCTTCTATATCTCCTTTGTGAATCTTTTGTTCAACGCCACTGCGTACACCTTATCTAACCTTGCCTTGTCTATTTCTTTTTTGTTATTATGTGTTTTCTACATTCCGTTAAGAAACCATTTCATACATCTTATTTTTATTAGCTCTGTTTGCTTCTCCTAATATTTCACTGTCCTCTATCTAATCTAATGTTTTAGCACTGAAGTCACCATCTATTACAGTCGTCCTACCATGATCTTTCTTACTTTTTTATTTTCTTCTTTCTTCTTCATATGCTTCATATTTCTTCAGATGATCATAAATTAGATACTTGATAAGATAATTCAACTTTCTTGGTAAAACATATCTTTAAACGCTTTTTTATCTCTTATCTGAGACGCTGTTTATACATCTGATTTTTAAATTGTAAAAAATGTTTAAGAGCTCATCTTAATATTCTTTAGAACGATAATTTGATTTGTTGCAAGGAATTCTTTAACTTTTGTACATTGTGATCTATTTGCGACTAATATTCTAAAAAAGAAAATTTATAGACATTGATGACGTTCGATGATTGTCATGATATCCTTTTAATCTCAAGGAGAGAAAAAGAATTAATGAATGACATCGTGTCAAACACAGCCAAAATAACCAAGAGTAGACAATTTCAAATAATATTAAGACTCGAATTCAGAAATGTTTGGCATGCGATAACTTTTGAATATATTTTATAACTTAAGAAATATTTAAAGTTATGTATATCCTGCTGTACATCTGAAGAATTATATAATATTTTTAAAAATTTTTTTTATAAAAATACTAATAATTTTATATATATCAATATACGTATATTATGTGTGTATAAATAATAAAATGTGTGTGTGTGTGTATAAGTATGAAAACTAAGCATTTTTCTAAAGATTCGTTCTATGAAACATTTTCTAGGTACTATTACATCAAAGTTATTAATTATGTTAATATCATTAACTAAAATAAATTTCAGTTAAGTAAATATTTTTAAGATAAATAAATAAATAAGTGAACTATAACATTACATGTTATAACCATTTGGTAGCAAACTCTCTTTCTTCGGATAAAGAAGAAAATTAAATGAATCTCCAAATTACTTTCCTACATTTTTTATATATGGAATTGTTACAAATAGACGGCGAATTTTCATAACTATAATTTTTATATGCATTTTTTTCCATTTTTTGTGACTATAAGGAAGAAGAACTGAATATTATAAGACTTTATAAGTAAATTTGAAACTCTCGGCCAACATAGTTTTACAATTACACTAGAATCTCGATTATTGGTCCACCTATTATACGAACGTTCTATCACGGTAATATTCTTTAATAGCAGAAATATATATTTCGTATTTTTTGCACATGTAGCTCATACAGTTATTCCTGTGAAAATCGGTGAAGGTGGCTATCAAAACAAGATCTTTTCATAATAATTTATTAACATGTGATTTACGGATAGTTTCATGTTAATTAAAATAAAATGTGAAATTATTAAGAAGTTAAAGAATGGAGAGTGTGCAACAAACATAGTGTCGAAAATAGTCCATTAGAAAGTCAATGATCGATGGTATAAAAAATAAAAAAATAATTAGTTGAAAATTATGTATATAACGACAACTATGTGTCTCATTGTAAAGCTTTCATTTGCAGCTTTTGAAAAGGAGGTGAGAAATACAAAAAAGCATGCAACGTCAAGCAATTACTTACGTTGGAAAATTTATGCGACATAGCGGCTAAAAAATTTATGGAATCTTTAACATTTATCTAACATTTATGTCTAAGGCTATTCTATTATCCGAACACATTTGTTTTTCAATTAATTCCGATAATCGAGATTCTGCTATATATTACATCCACCGAAAGTAACCAGTCGGGTATTCCTTTAACATAATATATCAAAATTAATAAAAAACTTACAGGATAATTTAATTAATCTACAAACTACGTGTTGCTGTCTGGAGTAAATGCTGATGTAGAATATCTATAGGATTCTCGCAAAATTGAACTTTGTCGCGAATACACGAAACTATAAATAAACCATAGCTCGAATTAACTTTTCATCTCACTAATTTTTTCATTAATTCTGTAAGCTACAGATACATATATGCATACTAATAATATTATTTCCCTGAACATAGAGAAAGGAAGAAATTTAATTTATAGCTGCGTATCAATGACTGGAACTCTGAATTCGTATTTGTTGATATGATTACTAGATAGTGGAATGCTCTATGCAGATTCATATTTTTGAAAATATAATTAAAAAAAAATAGAACCGCGACTATTTCGTATTTGAAAATTTCTCGTAAATGCATAAGAGTGCTTATGCGAAAAGTCTAGCAGTTCACTTCGATTAATAATTTAGCTCTTATGATTAATTATGATTAATTATAATTAAATTAATTATAATTAATTATAATTAATTATAATTAAAAATATTTATTAATTATGATTAATTATAATTAAAAATATTTCATACTGTTCATTTTTAAGTTACATTAGAGAAAATAAGAGACAATCAATGAAATCCTTTATCATCATCATCATCATCATCATCATCATCATCATCATCATCATCATCATCAAATATTTAATATAAATTTAGTACATTGTCACTCGAATTGAGTACAAGTGTCACAGATTGATAAATAAAATATTTATGATTATTTCGAAATAAAACACAAATTAATAAAAAGCAAAGACGTAATTTCAAAGGATACGATTGTGTCGTAGTCTTTCTAGATAAAAATAACTGAACATAACAATGATTTACTCATATTTAACTCTGCTGCATTTTTTCGATTATTTTCGATCCATTTATATTTCTCTAAAATTAAAAAAAAAAAAAAAAAAAAAAAAAAAAAAATTAAAAAATTCTTATCAGCATGCACGATTTTTCGATTAACCCTTACATTAAATATCTTCTTAAGACATCATAAATCTTTAACAGAATGTAAGTTTATAAGTTAAAAATTTGAGTTATTAAATTCGTAGTAAAGTTAATATTGCTAGAAAACATCGATATAATAATTGACTTTTCACGTCTGGAATTGAGTTATTTATGACATTTTAAATTCTCGCGTCACTAGACGACTTCTAATATATTTTAAGCATAAGAAAGAAAAGAAATTTTCGAATAATTTTATGTGTGGTAGAGCTTCTCTTATGTAAACTCTGATTTTTTGAATATTTTAATATTCGAACATTATATTAAGTAGTAACTATAGTTTAATATAACTAGTATTTAAGCTAGTAATTTATCCATCATTACTAGTATTTAATCTAGTAATTTATTTAATCTAGTAATTTATCTATCTATATAACTATCTGTATAACTAGTATTTAATCTAATAATTAGATTATTTACTACTAAGAAACAGTCTGTTTTGATAAATATAACAGTCGAATATCAAGATATTCGAAAAAACAGAGATTCACATAAAAGTTCTTCTGTATCGCGTTTAACGTTGTAAATCGGAAACGAGAATGGGCTGAAAAGCTTTGCCTTCGCTTGAAGAAACGTGAAAGATATATAAGAATCAACGATAAAAATAAACTTTTATTCCATATCTTTAGTTATTTCTCAGCATAATCACCACCTACTGCGGTACATTTATTTTTCCGTAATCCGTTCGAAAGAAAAAAAAGTCTTTTTCTCCATTTATTCACTGCACCTAGCGTAATGAAATGTTCTTTTAATTTCTAAGTTCAAGAAACTCTTAATTCCTAAATTGAATTTCTAAAATGTCCTAAATTAATAATTCTTAATGAAATTAAATTCCTAAAAAAAATTAAATAATTCCTAAATTAAATTTATAAAATCCTTTAATTCCTAAATTAATGAAACATTCGACTCTGCGACGAAGAAGTGAAATCCATATTGAAGAAACAGTTTCCGAGAAAAAGATATTGGACATTCTCGTGAATGAATTATAAAAAATTAGTGTAGCGTTCATGAAAATTATGATGACTATGTGGTCAAAAATTGTCAAAGAACAAAAATGACACAGTTTATTTTTATTGTTCTCTCGTTCATTTTTTACTTCAGCGAAGGCAAAACTTTTCAGCCTATTCTCTTGTAATGGTACACAAAAAAGGGGAAAACATTTTCGTGCCATCTTCCAACGATTCGCAAACGTTCATTCTCCATGTTTTTGTTTTTTTTTTTTTTTTGGTTTGAAAATACCACGAGAAATTTTTGTTATATTAAAGTGATATTAAACAGACTGCGGATTCTTACGAATTCATAGAAAATTTGAAGATAAACGTGTACAATGCAACGTACGTGGGAACAAATGAAATATCGAAAATATAACATCTGCTGTAATATTTAATCCTATTTCTTGAATTATTTTCACAGAAACGAATTTTATTGACAAAAATCCGCAGTCTAGGTATAAACGTTTATACAAAGCGGTACTCTCAAGTGCTATCAAAATATAATCATAATTATTAAAAGAACATAATTGCAAGAATATTAAATTTCGTCTATCACGATATTATGATGATTTATTGAATTGTTATATTCAAAACCAGCTTGAAAATGCCTGATATTTTGAAATTCCTCTGCTTATGTACATTTGATTTATATTTCGAAATCGATCGAAATCAAAGAGCACTCATATCTAGTATTTCGCGTACTTCGTGTTTTCTCCTTAGTCGACGCATACAAACCTGTAATTCTCGTTCTGTATATTCCGTTCACGAAGACCAGAAAAGAAATAAAAAAAAAAAGAATGATGAAAGAGGGAACGAAAATGCTTCAAGAAGCTGGTATGAAAATGATCGAGAAACGAACAATATGTATATGTACTCTATATGTATGTCTGTCTCAATGGTTCTCATTTCCTCTCTTGTTTCACAACATGTGTAAAATAATATATTTTCTTTTTCACGGCACAGTTTCATCTCGATTTTGTAATTCCTAGTGTGAGCCACTAGAAATGAAGGATTCTTACAAAATCACGTCGAGTATTTTACAAAAAATTCAAATTTTAAAATTTCACGGATTAAAAATCTAAAAAATATATATATATATACGTTATATAAGATGAAAAAACATATAAACTCCATGTTCAGACAGGTACAATTCGCACGACTGAAACTAACGAGGAAAAAAAAAAACATTTAACAAGCAGATTATATCGTTGGCAGATCGTTAAAGAGCAAAATCTTAAAACTAATTAAAACCTAATGATTTCTCAAGTGTGAAGAAAAATGTTTTCAGAAACATTTACCACAGAATTGGGAACAGAACTTCAGTCGCATTCAGTTTTAATAGAAAGAAGAAATTAGAGGACTAAGAACCACTGATACTGGAGAAAAACTTACCTTAACCAGGCCTCTGGGCTGATTCGTCACGACATTTGCCTCTGGGTTCTGGTCCCGCTACAATACAACAACAACGTAAACAAAACCGCTAATCTATCGTATTCTAAAAAAAAAAAGAAGAAAAAAAGGCAGACGCAAAGAGTGCATGCTAGGCTAAATCAGAAAAGATTTCACAAAATTACAGATCGATGATGTATGGCAAATATGAGATATGGCTGATCGAGGAAAACAATCAAACTGCGTTCAATGTGCACTGAATTGTCGAGAAATAAAGGGAAAAAAGGAAACGTTACGTTTCTTGTCCTCGTAAATCTGTAAAACCAACGTTAACAAAAAGGTGCAATTTATTGTTCGAGCGCAAGAGTTCTGCAGCACAGTTTCTTAATTTGCGAGAGAAGAATGAAACAATATACTGCCTCGGACGTAATAGAACCTTCTGTCTTATTATGTAGTTTCCTATACGCTTCATAAAATACAAAGTGTGTGCAATTAATTAATGTAACAATTGTGTACGTATTTACAAAGTGGGTTTGATTTTTTTTTTCTTTTTTATTTCAGAAGAAGTGATATGGATATTTAGTCAACAATATATCGGTACATCGGAAATACTCATAAGAATAAATCACGACCTTGATTTTTTTTTTTTTTTTTTTTTAATACGGCTAATATGCATACTTGAATTATAGTAGTAGCAAGTAGTCGAGTATTCTTATAAAATGCAGTTCGCTATTTACAGTTTAACTTTTGCAATGTGTTTGCAAAAGTTAAGAGGTTAGATTTAGTGATTTAATGATAATATTAGAATATGTTCGATAAAATATATATCATTAATTTTGAGATAATTGTGTCAATTATATACGCCAAAAATTGTTCTACCATCAATGAACAATCAATGACAATTTCTGAATACTAAATCGTTTTATAAGTAATGTCGTTTTTTTTTTCTGTTCAAAGTGATAGTCATAGTTTACTAAAATATGACAAAAATAATACTATTAAAAATATTTTTACTTAACACAAAAAATTAATTAAAAGCGAAAAAGACACGATTAATAATTTTTTATATATTCCATTCGAAAGAAAAATTCTAAACGATAGTTTAGAATTTGAAAATCTTCATTCAAGCAAAGCGATTTAATCTAGACATCTGAACTACATCAAAGAAAATTAAAATACACACCGAATTCTGTTTTTAACACAAATTGAAAAAAAAAAAAACAAATTTAATACAAATTTTACTCGATTTTTTTTTATTTTAACTTAACACAATCGATCCAAATTGTAAAGAATATATTTTTTTCATATTGCAGGTGAATGTGGCGTTTACTTCGCATTTTTCACATTGTTATTGAAACAATTTTACCAATAGAATACAACGATGATATATATTAAGTTGTCCAAAAAGTTCTTTTCATTTTATGTTTTACGTGTTCACAGTATTTTATGTTTTACGTCGTAGTAAATTACGGTTCTGGTGAATCATTCTAACCTATTATCTTTATCTTTCTGTCTCTCCGGAAGCCTTATAGTGCCATCTTTCCAAAATTTCTGGATCTCGAATAATATTTCGTTAACAAATCCCAGAAGTTTTGAAAAGATGATATTATAAGATTTGAGGAAGTTAATGGAATAATAATAGAGTACAATAAAAATTTTGGTTATTCAGTGTCATTTAAAATTACCATTAAAAAATATTTCATACGTTACAACTACATTTTTATATACATATGCAATCTTTGTGAAACAAGAAGTGTAAACACGTAAAAACCAACTCTAAGAATATAACTATATAAATAAAAATATAAGTATATAATTTTATCGATTTTTTAGGTCTGGAATCAATATTCTACTTTTTCTTACGCGCATTTCTCCGAGATTTATCGTGTGAAAACAGAATTAAGTATACTAGAGGAAAAAAAAAGAAAAAAAAAGAAAAAAAAAAACGCAAAATAGAAAAAGTGAAGAAAATAAGCTTCCCTCAAACTTTATTATACAAGATCTCTTTTCTTATAGCAAATACAAACTTTTAGGGAAAAAATGTGAATAATTTAATTTACATTTCAAAACGTATAACAATATCTATTTTTTCCACAAATGCAACCATTTCATAATTACTTATACCACTTTCTTGATTAAAACTTTTTTTTTTAGTTAAAATATCCTACAATCATTTTTTAAAATATCCTAATCATTTTTTCATCATTCTAACATTATCTTTGTTAACTTAAATAATAATAAATAAACTTAATAATGTGATTTAATCTATAAAAAGAAATACTTCCATAAAAAGAAGTACAACTATATAATACATGCGTTATGTATTTAATTTTCATACTTCTAATTATCAAAATAAAATAATTAATCTTTCTGCCAAGTGTAAATAATGAATACTGTATAATTCTTACTGTACAAATCTTCAACATAAAAAATTATAACATTTGATCTCGTGCAGAAAATTCATGCAAAAATTTTCTCTGAAAACTGCTACAGAAACAATATATTTCAACAGAGAATATGAAATGGAATTAAATTGTAATTTGAACGCTAATAACTAAATAAATTACACGCAATTTTGCTGGAATAATTGCCAGAATCAATTATCAAAAAGTCCTTTTTAGAATATCTATTCTTTCTACCTGATATCAGTTTTCATATTGCAAAATTTTTTTATTTAACAAAAACTTTAGCAAAAACAATGTACAATCATTTTTCCTGAAAACATAAATTATTCAAGGACGACGGCTGTTTCATGAGAAAGAAAACCATTTTAAAAAACGACATTACTTATAATACGTATAAACAATAATATTGAATATAATATGCCTTCATAATTTCTAGAAATGTTTCATGTATTATATTTTTATAAACATGTCCACAACATTTGAATTTCAAATAAATTATGTAAATTAAATAAACTTTTCTGTTTTCATATTACAGCACTAAATTCAAATGATCAACTAAATTTCAGATCAAATACGTATTCTACCATAAAGATTAATTAAATAATCGTAAATAGCCATTGCAACTATCGAAAGTAATTCTTTCTTTGTAATATGAAAGGACTATTAAAAAGGATGTTAATAAATTGTGTAAAGAGAAATGTTATGAAGTGTAAATGCATATATGTATTTGTATATTATTCACTGCTTAAAAATCAGCAAGAATGTATTTGAACTTCTTATTATTCTTAATGTTTAAGAATATTTATTACACGCACAGATGTAACTCTTTTTAATTATAACAAGATGATGGATATTTAATCAATTTTTTAATTCATAGCAAGATCATTAAATGTTAATATAACAATAATTATATATCATGATCAAAATTTGTATGGGTCCACATTGCATTCTTTGGATTATTCAAATCCATGCTTACATATTTTATTACTTTTTAATTGTAAAACACGTTATTGCACAATTATAATGTTACATCAATGCAATGTAAAACGCATTGTTTTAATTTTTTATTTAGAGTCAATAGATTTAACAGCTTTAAACATAATTATAATTTTAATATTTAAAAATATAAGATTATATTATTTTTAGAAATATAATATTATGTTAATTAAACTAAATAATCAGTTAATTAAATTAAACTACTTATAATGATAACTAATTTATCAGTTTAAGACAATATAGTGGATTTTTTTTTTACTCAAAAATAATGTTGATATATATTTATCTTATTTTTACAAACAAGACATCAATTTTTAGTCCAGAATACCCTCTTGAAAAGTGAAAAAGATGACGAGCAATCAAATTTATTTAATATTATTTCAATACTTTTCACTATACAGTAATAAAAAGATGAAAGAGAAAAAATTAATAATTAAAATAAAATATTCAAGATAAACATAAAGAGATAAATATTAATAAAACTAACGTTTCAAATTTTCTGAATAATTTCCTTTTTATATAATAAAAAAACTAAACTATTATAAAAAAAGGAAAGATTTGACAAGTTTTCTATATTTAAGATTTAAATTTGATCAATACAAAATTATTATATAAAATTAATATATATAAATTATTATATATTTTTATAACATAGAATAATTATAAAAATATTAGACTTCTGTTTTAATATCATTTATTTACACTATTTTTTATCATAAAATAATATGATTTCTTTTTTTTTCTCTGTATACCAAATTCTATGAAAAATGATTTTAGTTCTAAAAATATTTACATTGAATTCATACATGTCAGTCTAATATTCAATTGTTTTATCCATAAAATAGTCAATTAGGTATTAATAGATAAATTATCATTCAAATATATTTAATTGTTATACGCATTATCGAATTCCTTTTGTAAATTCGATAATTTAATAAATTAGCAATAATAGAAATAGATATGTATCTGTAAAGATTTTTATGTTGGCATTGAAATTTCTATAATTAGAAATGAAGAAAAATACTGTCTTACAATAGACAATTTTTATACTTTGATAGAACTTATAGAATTTTTTTTGAAATAGAATATTAATCCATATGGAACATTATAATTTAATAGAAAAGAATTATGGAATTCAAAATTATGAATAGTATTTTGAAAAAAAAAAGAATAATTGACAAGTTGACATATTATTAGCTATTCACAGTTCTGTCATAACTAGTAAAGTTGACAATTATGGTAATACGAAAATCATATGTTGTTGATTATAACGAAACTGTGGTGTTGATCTAATCGACCAATCAACAACAAGGGAAAGGAGAGGAAAATGTAAAAGGAAAAATATGTTCCATCATATACTAGATATATCAACTTGAAATTCATTTATTTTATATTTAAAAAAATGGTGAACAGAAAAAAATTTGTATAAAAAATTAGAAAATACTAAACACCAAATAAAAAAATAGGACATCCTAGTAATGGACCTTTAAGATTGATAGAAAAATATTCTAAATTTTGTGCCACCGAAAAAGAAAAAAGATATACCGTAGTGGATTATATACTCTTTCAAACGAAATGCGAAATCAAAGAAACGAAACAAGATATATGTGCAATTGCAACGTAGAACTGTGTATTGTGCCTTATTTTAAAATATATCATATACAATGCATTTTTAATTACCTTTTCAATATTTAAAACAGAATAATCTTCTACTTTTTTACTCCTATCTCAGCAAAAATACTTCTTATACCACTGAATACATAAAATAACTTTAGGAAATGAATTTATGTAAAGAAAAAAGTATTCGTTCATTTCTGACTGGAAAAATTTGACAAAAATTTAACTATTAAAGAATTCCTCCTATAAAGTCAAACAACTTTCATATGAAACATTTATTCATATATTTAATGATTAAAGATATAGTATCGTTTACGCGGATAAACAGGGCATACTGTAGATCACCTTCAAAGATCTTATTATTAGATCATAAAATAAATTATCAAAATTATGCTTTACAGTTATTAAAAACATTTTTTTTGTTGATTTTCAACTAAATTTAGATTTGCAAAATAAAGCAATGTAGATATCTGTTTCTCTACATATTGTTTTTAATATATAGTATTTAATACAATTTAATATATTGTACTTAATATATTTTTATAATTTAATATATTGTATTTAATATATTTTTTAAAAATTTTAACAGTTCTTCTGTATTTACAAAAAAAACTATGTATACTTTGTACTTCTATGTATCACAATTATTATAGTAAAAAATTTTCATATCTTTGATGATCATAAAATATTAATTATTTTAATCATTTTAAGCTTAGTACATTATTATGTTTAAGAATAATTGAAAAAATGCAGCTTACTTATATACTGAATACATTATGTAAAATAAAAAAAGTCTCATAAACTAATATTTCAAAATATTATCAATTCACTTTTTTTGCAAATTAAATGGAAACAATTAGTATTTGCTATATAATAGATTTTTAAAAAATTTTTCTCATTATATTTAATAACATTTATCTGAAGTTCTTTTCGTTATAGTCAAAGAATGTTGACAAAACATTAGATTCAGATTTATGTTTAATACATTAAATATTTCAAATTATGAGTATTTTGATTTTATTTACAAATATATTTTAATTCTTTGTTTTGAAAATGATTTATTCTGATATATTTTATCAACATTCCATCATTATGTAATTTATCACTGAGTTTTATCTAAATTTGTCATTTTCTAAACAAAAATTTATATTTAAGATTTATATTTAGAATATCACATCAAAGATGAAATGCAATCAATAAAAATTAATTTTCTTTAGAATATTTGATCATAGTAACAAGATAATTTTACTATATTTATATGTTATCATTATTTTTTTAATTGATATATATATATATATATAATTTATATTCTTATATTTTATGTAATTCAATAAATATAATTTTTATATAAATATTTACAAAATAAATTGTGGAAGTTTATATCAATTTTGCAAATCATTGAAACACAAAAAATTGAAAATAATATGAAGTACAAAATTTAATTATTCTTAAAATATCGAAAATATTTAATATTTTTATGTATATAATAGAATTTATGTTTTTATGTATTCTTTTAAATCAAAGCACGTTAAAAATGTTTTAATTAAAAAATTATAGTTTTTATTTTGATTATCGATTAATTTAGTTAATATAAAGTAATTTATCTTCAAATATTTAATTTTAAATAATAAGAAAAAAGTATAACACAAAATATATAAGTATATCATAAAATATAAAATATTGATTTATTAACAACTTTGATTATATTGAAAATTTAAAAAATTTCTTTCCTTTTTTTGAATTTTATTATATATTCCTAGTAAATGTGTAATAATATAAACTATAAATAATATTTAATAATTAGTTGGAACTGAATTTCATTTTGGATAAACAATATATATAATTGTTCGTACCATAAAATATTTTATATTTTAATAAATAATGGAAAAAATGTAATTACCTGTAAATTGTGATATGCCCCACTATCTTCTGGCGGTGTTGGTTTAAATTTGCCACAGCAAAAGTTGCAACAACAGCAGCAGCAACAACAACAATAACATGCAGTTATCAAACTACAAAATATGAAGAGTGCCTGCAAACAAAAATTTATTGTATTAAATGCATCAAAACCAATATTAAAATAATATTTCATTTATAAAAAAAAACTTGGAAATTACAACAAAAACTTACCTTGCACCAACCAGAAGTGACTACAAAGTATGCATTAACATTTTCTTCACCAAATTGCTCAGCTACATACAATCCAAGTGATCCATAATTGTCATATATATTTCTCTTAGTTAAATCTGTTAATATGGCATGTGCTCTATTTATTTCTTTAAACTGAAACAATCATGTTCAAATAGATGAACTTTACAAAATTACATTATCAGATTTATAAGATTTATCTAATACACACATAATTAAAATTATGATATGGTTAAACTATGACTAAAACATAGTTAAACTGAAGCAAATAATAAAGTTAAAAATGTTAAAAATAAAATTAAAATATCAAATATTGCACATAAAGATATTTCTCCTTAAAACAAACATAATATTTAAAGTAATAAATTTAAATTATTAATAACCAAATCATTAATCATTAATAAGGGTTGTACTAATTAATTAATTTTCCATTTTAAAATAATCATTCAAAAGTGAAACTAAATATTCATTATTATTAAAGACGATGAATTTCAATTTAAAAATTTTTTACTTTAATATTAATAATTGGCACATTAAGAAATTAATAAAATAAAATTTAAAGTACACAGATATAGTTGCACAGTAGTAGATACAATACCTAAATGAACATCTAATTAAAATTAGAAAAAGTATTATAATTAGCCTATTAGAAGAACAATTTGCACAAAATTATAGAAATACATTACTTGAATGGAAACTATTTAATTTTTTAAATCTTTATTAATAGTGAAATTTATATTACTATAACTAAAAATTCAATTATTTGTAGTTCTTTCCAAATTTGAAAAATAAATGTACACACTTTTAATATTTATTCTCGTTTGATTTTTTGATTAGTTTTCAGTTTTTTATAAAAAAAAACTTTTACATTTTTACTTCAACGTGGGCTACCTGCCATTTATGTTTGGATTGAGTTTATTTATGAACATAATTACATATTGTTTTACGGCTGAATCGCGATGAGTTTATATGTTTCACATTTTAATCCATAAATGCAGACTCGAAAAGAAATGCTCAGCTCAACTATTCGACAATATTCAATAAATAAACTTTCTTTCTGAATCGGTAAACTTGATCTTGGACATGAAGTTGGTTGGTCATCTTATGACAGCCGATATATTGTAAGAGTATAATTAAGAACTTATACTTTATTATATATTTAATTTCGCAGAATATTTATTAGAACAAGACAAGATTTTGCACTTGGTAACTTTTTGACGTAAACATGTTATGGGTTTTTTTCATAGCGCTTATGTATATTTTTCCGATTTGTCCTTGACCGAATCTTAAGACGATTCATAGCGTGACGAACTCCCAACACTGAATTGAAATTTTGAAACCCTGAACCTAACTTATTTCAGTAGCTAACTTGAATTTTTTATCCGCAGGAATAAATCCAACAAAAGATCTTATCTTTCTATACGAATGGAAACGCGATGCAAATTTATTACGTCACGAACTTATAATATAATCATGCTCTTGGATAAACCTAACCCACACGTAAGTATCCCACATTAATATCTCGAAAATTAAAACCGAGCGAAGGTTATATATATAGAAAAAACTTGTTCAAAATATTGGTTCCTACAATATATCCAAAAATCATCGAAATCAATGATATTTTTTCTTCTGGATAACGATTTTTTATCCTCATTTTTATAATTAATAAAATTACTTTCATGCATATATAAAAAAATTATAATTTATTAATAAACTTAAGTTAAAATAAGTATTAAATAGATACTTATTGTTAAAATAAAATGGATATAATTAATATTGACCTTCGCTAATATGTTACCTTTTCTGCTGCTTCTGGATTATTTGGATTTTTATCAGGATGATACTTTAATGCTAACTTTCTATAAGTCCTTTTAATTTCTTCAGGGGTGGCAGTTTTTGGAATTTCTAATATTTGATACAGGGAATCCCCTGCTGTCCTAAAACAAAGAAAATGTTAATAAATCAATTAATTATTAATTCTTGTTATGTGCCTACATTCAAAAGTGTCTAAGTTAGATAGATAAATTTTTATACTTATAAAATATTCCTACTTATGTAATAAATTTAATTTTAATTAAAAAAGTATTTAATTGCATTAAAAGGTGTTAGAAAGAAAAATTTAATTTTAATAAAAGTAATGTTAAATAAAGAAATGTCAAATCAGATTAATATTAATCTAATTGTTTACATAGATTCATTAATGTTCATTAAGTAGAATGTAAGTCATCATAATTTATTTTAAAATACAGGTAATTGTTTTGAGTAGTATAAAACTTTTTTCAATGAGTTAAAATTTTTATTACATTGATTTTTACAACTATGCAAGAAATATCTTGCAAATTTGACAATTACAGTTGACATTCAACTTTCTTATTAAAATTTAAATAAATCAATTTAATTCATTAAATATGAATGAATTAAATATGTTTTTCAAGAAATAAGCAGTAAACTAATCTTAATGACTCATTTTAAACTCATGTATATACATATGTACAGTAAGACAGTATGTACAAATCAACAAATTAACCTAGTAGAAAATATATTTTTATTTGGAAAAAACAAACTGTCAGTTGACAGAAATAATGATTTCTTCATCTGTCCTCAAAATAAACTAAAATATAAATTAAATAAGAAAGGAAGATTAAAACGTATAAGAGTGAATAAGAGAATAACCTAGAATTTTTGTAAATTTTGTACAGTTTTTTTAATATTTGAGATATACTTACAAAATTCAATAAAAAAATTTTGTTGATTACTATTGAAATAAAATAACGTGATTTTCAAAGTGAGGAAATAGTTTAAAGCGCAAATATTTAAGCAAGGGTGGTAAAATACTCACGACATTTTTCTTTTATCCATGTTTAATAGATGTAGCGTTACTTGACGATACGAAAAGTAGAATTAATTTCGTACTAAGATATTTCGAACTTTTGTCGTCTTGTACTACAGGTACATGATTTTCGTCATTAAATGAACGTATCTTTTTGAATAGATGTTGTGTCGGATGATAGCAGAGGAAAGGATTCAATATTTTAGTACCAAAAGTGGACACAGTTGCACCAAATTGGCGCCACTGAAAATATAAATCTGAGAAGTATAAATGAAGTTTGAAACTATTGGTGTATATTATTTCAAGTAAATACACGGTAAATTGCATTTTATAGAAATCGCTTATGTATTTACATATATAATTTTTGAAAAATTTTATTTTTATACGTGTGACAAATTTTTGAATCTGTAAAATATTATAAAGGAATAAAATATTACTAGGATAAGAAAATCTAGGTTTTCTAATAGAAGAGTTTTGAATTAATAAATTAAAAAATCAATATATGTATAATAGTAAATTACCATTGCTTACACAGTATATAGATGTATAGATATTATTTAAATGATGTATATACATTATACATTATTTTATATGATATATTGATAAAAAAGAATGATGAATCGTCTATCCTCTGTTAACCTTTATTATAGAAGTAATCTAAATTATGTACTTATTATTATTTTAAAATTCATTAAAACTTTTCATTTATTGTCATAGAATCATGTAATTACATTGAGTGATATGTATAAATCTCTAAATTCATAATATAAACGTGTATGTAAATATGTATATTATGAATTAAAAGTTGAAGTAACATTGAAGCTTAAAATATTTGTAGTTGTTTAAAATATTTAAAAAAAAAGAAAAATATAAAGAAGTTTATAAGAACTATTGAATTATAAAATTGCTTATGTGTACTTTATTAAATGTACATGCAAATCTAATAAATATATTAATTTCACATTAGTTTTATTTCATTGTTTAAAATATATATGACATTCTAAAGATAGCATAAAATATCTTGGCACACATCTATATAAAAGACTTGTATAGAAAATCATATGCAAGCAAAAATGAAACAAATATGAAGATAAGAAAATTATATTGGATTGTAGAATACAAATCCTCTTTATCTTTATAAAATAAGTTACTATTATACAAAGTTGCACTTATTCCAATATGGATATGTAATATCCAACCTTGAGTTTGTGCTAATGAAAAGAGTCTGAATACAAAAATTCCAAAATAAAATCTTAAAAACAATAACAGCCATGCCATAAAAGTCTTCACAAAGATTTAGGAATAATGTATGTATTTAAAAGAGCAAATTCACAAATTTGGAATAACACAATCATAAATTAGGTACATCGTAATGAAGGAATTAGGAACCTGACATAGACTTTAAGAATCAAAAGATTGAAGGAATTGAAATAATAAGATTTAGTGACATAATAATTAAAGATTGAACTGAAAACATTACTGAATATTACTTATATTTATATGCACGTGATACTTACATTATTAAATTTATTGGTTGGCTCGATAGAACCAATTGTAATTATAGAATAAAAAAAAATTAGATAAATTATATTTAGTCGATTAAAAGCTGACCAACATTTATTCTGAACATTTTTTTTTAACAATGATCAGAAATGCTTGAATATCGTAAATAACACATTTTGTATTTATACTCAAATTTATAACGAATCAGTCAAGATCTCTGTACAACCAAATGATTCATATAAAACTCTTATTGTTTTCAGTATATTTTTCTATATAAAGTCATTATAATTTGAATCATTTATTATCTGTTTTATATATATTTGCTTGTCATTACAATTAAAAATGCATTATGTATTATTCAAACACAGCTTGATTTTTATTTTCTTTTTAAATCTAAATGAATAACAAATACAATTATACATAAAATGAAATAAGATATAATCTTAAATTCTTACGTTAAGATATTTCATTATAGTTTTATTAATAATTATTATATAATACAAAAACATAAAATGTATTAAATATTAAAGACAAAGATATTTAATAAACTTTTAATTTGGAGGTAGATATTGATCTGTGTCCAAAGTACTCTTTCTATAATCATTTGAAGATATATATGGTTCATTATTTACGTTGTGGCTTTCCTCAAGTGTAACATTGGACATAATATTCTTTAGCCATCCTAAATCTAATGGAGCAAACATAGCAACCTGAAACATAAAATATAGAATGCTAGTAGCATGTAACATAATATTATAGTTAATTTCTATGAGTAACATATGAATAATTTTACCAGTAAAAAATTTCAAAAGATTATAATAACAGTTTGAATATTACAAATTTTTTTCTTTTACTTCCTTAATACTAGAATTACCAGAGTGATCAAAACCAATTTGTAAGAAATTTTATAATTTTATGATAGTGCGTTTCTAGAGATTCGAATAATTCTTGTTCAAAAGAATAACCTTTATTCAGAAGGATGAAGATCAAGAGATTGGTTCCCAAAACACAATATTTATCATCGATAATTCTAGTATAATTATAGTATTAATATAGCAACTATAAATAATAATGTATGATTTAGTAATAGGATCGATATCGATATTATTAACGATGTTCAATTAATTCAATATCAAAATATTTAATTGGAAATATCGATGTATATCGAAATTTTAGGTATATGGTAAATTTTCATATTAATATATCGATACCAAATCTGAAGAAATTATAACAAATTAATACCCACGTGATATGTTGTAAAAATATCGATACCTGTTTGATACCTTTGCTAATATATCTCGATACACGTATTGATATTTCAACTCAGTGAATATAAATATAAATATAAACAAATTATATTTTACCAATTGAACAGTGACATTAATGATTAGGTAGACATTAAATTAAAATGTGTAAGTACTTAATATAAATATTAACGAAAGGAATTATATTTTATTAATTAAACACAATGACATTGATGATTAATACTCCCTATAATATCATAAAGTATTAAATCGATATTTTCATAGAAATATCAAATTAATATTTTTGATACCTATATCTTAATAATATCTAATATTAACTGTATCTAATATTCGATACAGTATCATAATTTGTGTACAGTATAATTTCATTGGTATTAATCTGATTGTTACGTATGTCTTACTTGATTTGATGGATAGCATCCTGTATCCTGACTATAAATTCCAGCTAATTCATAAGAACCGTCTTCATTTTGACAAGCAAGAGGTCCACCAATATCCGTGTCACAAACATTATTTTTCTCTTCTTTAGGTGTAGCACATAGAATTCTATCTGCAATGTCAACTCCAAAATCCGTGTTTAGTAGTAATTCCTTGCAACGTTCCGTTGATAGTATGTCCATGCTAATGGCGTGCATGATTGCACCAGCGTAATGCGCTGAAGCAGAAATATTTATGTAATTAATTAATCATTTAATTTGATTTTTTTGTAACAGTTCCTAATGTTGCTGATATTTTTATTTTAATCTTGAAACTTCTGACTTACTTTGATTACCATATAATATATAATCATAGTAATATGCATATAATATAATTGTTATATACATATGTACAAAGATAATAAAATTTTTACCTAGAGAGATACTGAAACAGAATCAGTATTTAGAAAATAATATTATTGTAATAAACAATATTTAAATTTTAATATATGTTTTCTATATATTTGTCTTGCTTTTTTTAAAAATTTTATTTTATTTATATATCTTTAACCTTTTGATTATGGGTATGACGAAATATTTCGTCATCGTGAAAGGAGTTATCCTTACACAAAAAGAAAATTTATTCCTCTGTTAAAAGATAAACTTTACTTTTTACGATATTAGGAAAAAAATATTAGAATTTATGTTTATAACATGATGATAAATAATTTAAAATGATATTCTATGCCTTTTATAATACTATATATATATATATATATTAATAATTTATCATAAGTCAAACTCAAATTAAATTTGACAGAATTCAGTAATATATTTTGATAATAAATCACAAATGAAATATAGCGTTAATAAAACGTTGACTTTGTATAGATCAGAAATAGATCTATATAAATTTAATAAAAAAAAATTTTCGTCTATAAAAATTGGTTAAATATATCTAGAAAATTCCTAAAGAAAAATTTTTGCCGTCATTGAAACATAATATTATGTATCTAGTATTTTTATTATTTTAATATTATAATACATAAAAATACTAGTATATTATAATATTTGCTAAATGTTTAGTTTCTTCCTAATTGTGGCTATTTCTCTCCACTTTTTCTTTTTTTAGTTTAAGCTTATCACTGAAATAAGAAATCAATCGGAGAAGCTTGAAAAACATAAAAAAATGTTTCCATTTTATAAATATAATTGCTATTAATTACTTTTATTTATTAGCATATATATTTGAGTCAGATTGATATAATTTTATAAATATTATTGTATATGTATTCAAAATTAAATAATTGATTAGATAAAGATGGTTGAAGAAATTTTGTTCTGTTTTTTACAATTCTTTTTCAATTACCTTGAAGAATGGATTTCCCCCAACCAGTGGTAATGCACAATTTATTCTTTTGAGGTAAATGCTTTGATTTAGGCAAACATAGAGGATTTATATGAAGATCGAAAGTAATAGGATTCTCGAGATGTAACATTGCAAGGTCATAGTCTCCAGATTTTCTCTTATAATCAGGATGTAAACTGATGGATGATACATTGATGATTTGGAAAGCTAATGGTTCTTCGTGTCTCAATTCGTACCCTAATTTCCATTCTCCTAATTTTATCGAAACATCCATCGGCGACAGGCTTGATTAATAAAATGATTAAAAAAAAAATAAAATAAAAAAATTAATTACACACTGGAAAAAGTGAAATTAGAATTAGAATTAGAAAATAGATTTCAATCAGTTTTTTCAACTACTTAATTATTGAATCTTAGAGAGATAGTTAATTTATGAAGAAATTTACTTATATTCAATTGACTTACATTTTATTCTACAGAATAAAATGTAAGTCAATTAGTTGTAGTAGTAGTCAATTAGTATTCTACTACAGTACAAATCTCTTACTAAATTGCAGAAATTTAGTAATAAATTAAGGTTTTATTTGAAATTGAACAGTAAGTAAAGTAAATTGAGATTATTCTCAAATTTCTGATATTGGATTTCTTAAGATCAGTAAGTTCAATTTCTGCAATTAATTGCCTTACTTTTAAACTTAGCATGCTTACTTGTCGACGCAATTAGCCGCTGTTAATACATCTTCAGGTCCAAGTAGAACACCAGAACAGAGAATTTTCTTTTCCTTTAAATGCAAGACCATCGCTTGCC